GGAGCCGATCTCCGACGCAAAAGTCTTCGACGAAGTGTTCATTGTCAAGGATTCGTTTCTAATCAGGTCCACCTCGCGGATGGCCTGCAGCAGATCGGTGTACTCGCCGGAGTTCTTGCTGAGAGTCCTGAGCATCTGCTTCCCGGCGTCGCCCAGGCCGACTCCGTCCTCGATGAGGAGATGGCGCCAGCGGCGGCTCAAATCCAAGCCTCGTGTCGCTAGGCGGTCGAAAACCTGGTCCACGCGCGCTGCGTAGAGGCCGAGCGACTCACCCTGGCGCCGCTGGAAACCGCGCAGACATTCTCGACCCGACCTCCTCATTTCATCGGCGCGTCGCTGTCCGCTGAGCACGTCTAGACGCTGCAGAACTGTTTGAGGGCCTCGAGAGGAGAGGAGAACATGATCTGGGATATCTTCGAACTTATTCCTGAGCTCGAGGCCCAGCACAGCGCGCCGCCGCCCCTGCGTGGACCATCTCAAGCAGCGCATCCCCGCCTTCCTTCCCAGCAGCCTCTGGTCAAGGCGTCCAGGGCCCAGTCTCCCCCTCCGTAGTCTCGTCGACGACGCGCTTGCACCTCTTGATGAATTCATTGCGCACAACGCCCTTGCTGTTTTCAAGCGCAACATCCATGAACTCATCGAGCGGGATCTCGGACTTGCCCTTCTTCGCGAGCTTGCACTCGTCCTTGAAGACCCCCGTCGCACCTGCCAGTTTGCCCCTCCCCCACTCGGATGACGGACTAAATTGGCGAGTTCAATGGGGGTCACGCGGGCGTTCCTGCACTTCTGGCGGCAGCATCTTCAGCCTGTAATTAAAGGCATTGAACTTTGTCTTGTCGGCGGACGCCGCGCTGGCGGTCCGATCGCTGGGTGGAAGGGGCGTCGGAGGACGGCTCTTCGCACGCCGCGGCGCGATATCGGGCACCTCTGGTTTCGCGGGCGCTTGTCCAGCAGCAGCCGCGGGCGCAGGCGCCAGGTCGCCCTCGGCCTTCTCTTCCTTGACAGGTGGGGCCGCCTTCCCAAATCAGCATCTGATGCACCAGTGCCCGTCAACTCCCGCCGCGGGCTCGGCGATGGGGCGCCCCGAACGGCGCGCGCTCGCCTGTCCGAAGCCGCGGGGCTGAATGACTCGAGCCAGAGCGGCTGCAGACAACGCTTCGTTTAGCGCGCGTGCTTTTTATATATAATAATATGTATATATGTATGTATATAAATATATGTATATATTATATTATATATATATACAGCTAAAAAAAAAAAAAAAAAAAAAAAAAAAAAAAGCGCGCGCGGATCGGCCCCGGGGATTACACGGGCACCCTCGACGCCTGTCGCTCTGGCCCCAGGGGCCATCAATCAGCTCGGGGAACAGGGAGTTTTCAGAGGGCTTGAAAGGGGGAGTTGGAGGGGGAGGGCGCGCCCAGAGGACGTGGAAGGCAGAGGAAGACGATGGAGGAGGAGGAGGTGCTCCAATGGCATGAAATTATAATGTCGAGGGGGAGTCTCGGCAAGTGCTATCGCGGGAAAAAAACGCAGCAGGAACGCGCGACGCCATGCAGCTGGGCCATTTGTTTTCCCACGCCCTCGACAGCTTTTGCTCCGGGAGCCCGTCGATGCGCCGCCTTCGGCACTCGGGGTCGCCGCGCGCCCCCCCCCCCCCCCGCCCCCCCCCCCCCCTGGCGGGGCGACGCGCGGCGAGGCGCCGACATTCGCGATGGAAGTGCGAGGCGCTTGCGAAGCAATTACGATATTTCTGAAGCCATTTGAAGTAACATGCGCCCCCCCCCCCCCCCCCCCCTTCCTCCGCCCCCTCCCCCGCGGGGGGGCGGGGTGCCGACTGCAAAGCCAAAGCGGGGTCAACTAGGGAAACAAAAGCACCCTCGACGATGGGTTATTTCCCCCGAGTCGACGCGCACGGGGCGCGCCGGGCGAGGAGGGGGGGGGGGCACTGAGGGAGGCGAAAATGACGGGCGCGATCAGGGGAGACAACGAGGGCAATAACTCGGCGACGAATGCGAAGGTGTAGAAGGCTTTTGTTCGAGCCCCCGTCGCTGCGACGGGCTGCCGATTTGCTCGCTTGAGGCCAGCGCTGCCAAGCTCGATCTGCCGCAGAGCGTGCAGGTGCATATATGTGGGTCCGCGCATGCAAAGCTGGCGGACTCGACGTGGAACGGTGTGTCATATATACCTGCATTGGAGCGCTCTGGGAATTTCACTTTCGCGCAGAATCCTTGACCTTCTGGTTGATCCATGCCTTCATCTGAGTGGCATTGCTGACCACGCCCGCGCGAATCTGCGTCACAAGCTCCTCCGTGATCTCGCGGCGCCTCGGAGACGCCCCCGCTGAGACTGGCCAGAAACTTCTTGCCCTTCCCACTCAGGATGTACGCCTCCTTATACCTCGTCTTGGTGCCGTTGCGCTTGATGAGGGCGACTGGGCTCTCGATGGCATAGCCATCCTCGGCAACTCCAGGTTTTGCCTTCCGCCTCATCCGAGTTCGCCGGGCATGGGCCGCCGATGCTGCTGCAGGGCGCCTGTGCGCGCCCGAGGCTGAGGCATTGGCCTTGGCCTTGGCTTTCGCCTTGGCCTTGTTCTTGCCTTTCCCGGCGCCCGTGGCTGCGCCCCCGGGCTCGTCCTCAGGCGCGCCAGTCTCTGACCGCTGGCCGCCGCGAGCAGCGCCGGGGATCCCCGCGGCCGCGGCAGCCAAGCACGCGGGACAGGTGCACGCCGCGCCTGTGATCGCGACGTCGGAGTCGGAGTCGCATTCAATCGCGCTGGGGACGTCATCGAAATCTGGAAGCGTTGGCTCGGCGGCGCTGGGTGCGCCGTCAGCCACTGGCGCTGGAGATGTCTATGCTGCCGGTGCCATTGGAGCTGCGGCGCTCGACCCTGCACCTGAGGAGGTGGCGCTGAGCTCCAAATGAGGCAGCTGGATGAGCTCGACCAGCTCGGCAAGGGCTGGCCCCAGGTCGCCACTGCGATCGGATCTCTTCAAATTGTAGACGTCCTTGCACGTGAACCTGAAGGCGTCGGCCACGTCCTTGGCATGGCGAGTAACGTTCTGGAGCTCGCCGAATATTCTGCACCTCGACTGGAGGAGTAGAAACGATTCTCTTAAATTCGCCTGCGCTGGAAATCCTGCCGGGCAGGCCGTCAATATTATCTTGAGGGTAGGCGAATACTGAACTAGACAAGCGGCGTCTGGCCCCTCTCCACGAGTGGGCTTCTTATAGTCAGAACCATTCCAAGCAACTCCTACATCCCTGACGTTCGCCAGCGCGGCGAATTGGTCGGCGAGCGCCCGCGGAGGCCAATATGAAGCACTGGGTCTGGGCGCACGGGCGCGCTTCGTGCAAATATCCATCCTCGAGCACAAACAGCTGCGGTGTGAATGGCCACGGGACGGAAAAAGAACGAGGCCCCCCTGCGCGGAACATAGCAAAGTTGTTCGGGCTCCTCGGGGGCGGAGGCGCAGTCCTGCCAAGAACGAACTCCCATGCGATTGCACCAAATTCAAACTATCAGCCTACCCGCCAGTTCTTACACCTCAAGTAGAATCGGGGGAGGGGGCACATAATAATTTATATCCGATAACATGAGATAATCCCACCAGCCCTCTGGGCGTCGGTGGTCTAGAGAGCTTCCTCTTCCAACCCCCTTCTTCCCCTTCGGGGAGGGGTCTACTCCTCCCCCTACTCCCTCCCCTGGACCTGGACGGGGGGTTCCGCGGGTCGTCGGGGCGTCCAAGATGGCCCAAGACGGCTCCAAGAGCGAAAAGGCGGGAAAGCAAACAAACATTGACACCCCAGGTTTTGGAAGGATTGTGGCCTCTCTTGGGGCCCAAGAGGCACTCTAGAGGGGCAGCGCTAATTCCCACCCGCCCCCTTCTTTGATAGATCTCCTCCAACATGGCCCCAATAGCGCCCCGAAGGCTCCCAAGAGCGCCCCAAGAACGCCCCAAAAGGGCCCCAAGAGGCCCCAAGAGGCGCCCAAGAGGCGCCCAAGAGGCTTCCAAGAGACCCCCAAGAGGCCCCAACATGCTCCCCGAGATACGCAACAGGCCCCCAGGATCGCCAAGAGGCCCCAAAGACGGCCCAAGAGGCCCCCAAGCTCGCCATAGTCCTCCTCCTCCTCCTCCTCCTCCTCCTCCTCCTCCTCCTCTTGTTCTTCCTCCTCCCTCCTCCCCCTCCCTCTCCTCCTCCTCCTCCTCCTCCTCCTCCTCCTCCTCCTCCTTCTCCTTCTCCTCCTTCTCGTCCTCCACGTTCTCGCCCTCCTCAATATCCTCCTCCTCATCTTCCTCCTCCTCCTCCTCCCCCTCCTCCCCTTCCTCCTCCTGCTCCACCCCCTGCTCCTCCTTTTCCTCCTCCTACTCCGACGACGACGACTCCTCCTACATCCTCCCCCTTTTGGGGTATATGGCGGCTTACCCCACCCTTTGTTCTTCTGCATGCTCCCCCGCTTCCCTCATCACCTCCACTCCCCTGGGACTCATTTCTGGACGGGCTGGTGGGGATATGTTTTTTTTACAGCCGCAGGCGGAAGCGCCAGCAGCGGAAGGTCGCGAACGGGCCGCGGACGCGACTAAATTACCTGGCTGGTGGGGATACGCGAAGCGTTTAGAATTAAAAATTAATAGCGATGCTGATGCTTACTTAGTTACCCGTCGCGTTGCTAATATTTGAGTGGGTGGCGTAACTTCATGTTGCGTTATTACTTCATATCAACGCATGAGAAAGAAACCATATGGGAGCTACTGGGTCCCAGGGCCGACCAGCCCTCGGGGGGGGAGGGCAGCATCCGACGAATTCTCTTGCCTCCAGTGCTCCAGTGCTCCAGAGGGAGGAGGTCGAGGAGGAGGAGGAGGAGGATGAGGATGATGATGATGCTGATGCTGATGATGGCGATGATGATGATGACGGTAACGACGATGATGATGAGTCTGCTGACAGTTATGATGATGAGGAGGAGGAGGTCGATGAGCAGGAGGGAGGAAGACCATGGCCTGCATGATAACCTCCTCCACCTCCCCGTGCTCGCCCAGTCGGCAGAGGCGGGTGTCCGCTGGCCAGCGGCAGGCGCCGCTGTTGCGGAGCACCAGTGCGATCCCTGCGGCGCCCGCGTCGAGCCTGGGCGGGGAGTCTATACAATCAGCATCATCATCATCAGCAGCAGCAGCATAAGCCTCATCATCATCATCATCATCACCATCAGGAGCATCATCACCACAATCGTCATCATCACCACAATCATAAGCATCATTGTCAGCATCACAACCATCACCATTCATCAACATCATCATCATCACCAGCAGCATCATCAGCATCATCAACAGCATCATCATCACCACCACCATTATCATCACCATCATGATCACCATCACCATCATCACCACCATCAGCATGATCAACAGCATCAGCATTATTATCATCATCATCCGCAGCAGCATCGTCGTCGCCGTCGTGGTCGCCACCGTCCACGTCGTCATCGTCGTCATCATCATCAGCGTCATGATCACCATCATCACCACCATCATCATCAACAGCACCATCATCATCTGCATAGTCGTCATCAGCATCATCATCGTCATCAGCATCCTCCTCATCATCATCATCATCATCATCATCATCATCATCATCATCATTACCGTCGTCGTCATCATCATTGTCATCATCGTCGTCATCATCATCGTGATCGTCGCCATAATACTCTTCCTCATCATCATCACCATGACCATCATATCACCATCACCAGCATCATCGTCGTCATCATGATCATGATCATCAGCAACAGCAGCCGCAGCATCATCATCCTCATCATCACCACCACCATCACCACCATCATCATCAGCATCATCATCATCAGCGTCATCATCATCATCGTCCTCGTCCTCGTCCTCATCCTCTCCTCATCCTCACCCTCATCGCCAACCCCATCTCCATCCTCATCCGCATCCTCATCATCACCCTCATCATCATGTCTTCGCTTTACGGTCAGGACAATTCTGCTTCTGTAAGGCCTCTGGCAGCGCCCCCGTTGCCACTGCTGAATGCGCCTCGGATCTCCAGGTCAGATCGCGCTCTGGGGCATGTCTGGGGGCCCACTTGGAGGTCGCCGATCAAAGACCTCCAAGCGTCGAAACAAGACACGACAAGCACTTCCATCTTCTCCGACATTGCGATTCTTTGGTGGCGTCGACCCCGGGGAATCTAGACCACTTCCCCGTGGCCAGATAATAATCCTGCATAGCTTTTTGGCTGCCCTGGGGCCTGGAACCGGTCTCCAGAGGCCGAGAACAGCGAGAAACAGCATCGTCGCTATCTTTGCTTCGTCTCCCAGATCTGAAGGTTCCTCTAGAGTTCGGCGACAACAGAAACTGGCCCGCGACGACAAGGTGGTCCAACGGGATCGGGCCTGGACCTCCAGGGCCCGCGTCGTGAATCCGCCGACCCTGTCAGCGCGTGTGAGGGGGAATTCTGGGTACGTGCGTCGTCCCCGGGTGGTCCTCAGAGACGATCTTTCATTCGATTTCTTGTTCCATTCCCGGAGTCTGTCCCGAGACCCTCTGTGGCGCGGCAATCGAGCCAGGTCGCAGTCGCAGTTGTACTTAGGTCGAAGGGAAGCCCCTGCCCTTTGATCCCTTCCCTTCCCCACCTGGGGTGTGTGTATCAAGAGGGTCCTGGGGGTGGTCCGAGGGCGTCCCAGGTGGGGTTCCGGGTCAGAATGCACTCCCCTCTTTACCGTTTTGGGGGCGCCTTCGGTAATCCGATTCGAAGAAATCCACGCGAAACCCAAGAGAGCCCAGTCGCCCAAAGATCGCTCCAAGCCGCCCAATGTGGCCTCCAGACAGCACATGAAGCCTCCAATATACCCCAAGAGGCCATTTAAAAACACTCCTACGAAACTTCCCACGAAGACCCCAAAAGGCAACACATTTTGAATCCCCTGATGTTTTGGAGCAATTTTTGCGTTTCTCTCTTTTCGGCTTCCCGACGCTCCAATGCGGCCCACGAGGCTCCAAAGATTGCCCACGAGGCCCTCCAGAAGGCGCCGAGACTCTCTGAAAAAAAAAACACGGCCCAAGCGGCCTCCAAGACGGCCCGAGAGGGTCCCGAAAACTCTCCCAGAGTGGCCCCAAGAGGGAACACGAACCGACATTTCAACCTTACCGCTCCAAGACGCTCCCACGAGGCTCCAAGAAACTACCGAGAGGCCCCCACAAAGCTCCAAGAGGCCCCCAAGAAGGCGGCAGCCCCAAGACGCCGCCAAGAGGCATCCAAGAGGTCCGAAAGGCTCCCAGAATGCCGCTACTCAGCGATCTTGACCATGCCGCTCAATGCTGCTGGCGTTCTTGCCCTTTCTGGCTCTCGTCGGCCTCACCAGAGTCCAGAGAGCCTACACAGTAACGCCCAATCAACCCAAGAGGCCACGAGAATGTCCGCATACAGTCCCCCGACGATTTAAAGTGGCCTCCATAACGGCTAACTTGGCCAAGTATACACTCCCAGACGGTCAATCTTATTTCTTCCAAAAAACAAGCATGGCCAAGATGAACATGTCTTGCAACCGAAATGGTCCACGATGCTCTCAGAACAGGCGAGGATGATCCGATAACGCCAAGGACGGCAGCACGATTGCTCCAAGAAGATCCAACGTAGCCGCATGATGCAGCCATGAGCCCTGAGAGACATGCGGGAACCACAAAGGCCCCCTATGATATCCTCCTCCTCCTCGTTGGATTTCCGTTCGAAGGTTTTCAGCATCACGGAGCCCTCTAGTGCAGCAAGCTCGGAAGCCTCATGGGAGCCTTACAACCTTCTCGACCTCTGAACCCCTCCTGCATCATGAGGGTCGGCGGCACCGGCCGTAAGGCCCCTCCAATAAAACGTACCGTCGGAGGCCTGGGCCTTCTGGAAGAGACCGAGTGCTCTTTCGAAGAACTCGGGCCCCTGAAAAACGGAGCCTGGCGGCGCGAAGGAGGTGGCGCGAGAGGGGCGGCCTGCGAAGGATGCCAGGGGCTTCATGGGAGGCCCGGGGCCTTCTCAGAAGGGCGCGGGGGCTTCTTCAGAAGGCCCCCGGGGGGGGGAAGAAACGCATTCGTGCCCGTCGTGCCCTTGATCGCAGAACACAGGGCGAGACAAAATAAGAAGAAAAAGAAGAAGAAAAAGAAGAAGAATAAGAAGAAGAAGAAGAAGAAGTCGTAACATCAGAATCGTGATTGGATTGTCATCATAACCAACGTCACGCAACAGCCGGTGAAGGACTGGCAGTTGAGGCGAACAGCGTTCGATATTTGGGGGCCTTCTCAGAAGGGCCTGGGGGCTTCTTCAGAAGGCCCCCATACGTCGAAAAAAACGCCTCCGTAGGAGGTAACACGCGTCCTGGGGATCATCGTATTTACCCACAAGCCCACAACTCCTGGAGGTCCCAGGGCACGACTGCGGAAACTGGTGGACGTGGATACCTCCTGCCAGTGCAGCCCTGCCCTGTTTTGCTCGCCGCGAGGAGCCGAAGGACCAGCGCCTCCGGCGTGTCGGCCAGCACGGTCGCCTGCTTCGGCTGAAGCCCGTCCGAGATGGCCCCCAACAGCCCCGCGTGTACGGCCTGCGGCGCTGACGGGCCCAGGCCCGCAGAACCCCGCGGAGCGACGGGGTCCACAGAGAGCACCCTCGAGTTCACGAAGAAGGGGTTGTCCACCTTGGGGGGGGGACGCAGCGATGGGGGGAGGGACTGGCTCAGGGGGGGACGCATTGACTTGCAATCGCGACGCATCGCCGATGGATCGGTGATGGGCCCCCCGGTGGCGAAGCAGCACCACGCTCCTGGGCGGGGTAGGAGGCCCAAACCCCGATTGGCCATGAACGGGTGATTGGGGGTCGATGCTTTCCCCCCCCCTGGGCCAGTACCTCCCGTTGCCCTTACCCGTAGACCTCGGTCATGTCACCCTCCTCCTTGCCCGCGACTGGCCACAGCCGCGCGCTGAGCGGCTTGCCAAGGCGGAAGGCCAGCGAGCACATGTCCATGTAGACCGCGGCCAGCCGATCAGGCTTCGTGGAGCCCTCCACGGGCACGGTGTCGATGCCCGTGCCGCACACCGCGGAGTAGAAGAGCAGCTGCTGCACGGACAGCCGACCCTCCACCGCACGCCTTGCGAGCCCGGCGTCCTCCGTCACGGGCATCATCAGCCCGCTGTAGCCGCAGCGCCTCACGGGCAGGGACTTGAGCACCGAGGTGATCATCGCCGAGATGGTCAGCGTGCCTGCGCCGCCCATGCCCCCGAGGCCGAGAGACTCGTAGGCGTCCACCATGCTCTCGGCCGGGTTGGCAGCGGACGCCAACGAGCAGTCGATGCCTGCGTACTCCACGCCCGCCGCCTCCGCCGCTCGCTCCGCGGCAGCTTCCAGAGGCGCCAGCCTGCCCTCGAAGGCCTTGCGCAGCGAGGCCTTGGCATCATCCAGCGAGGCGGCGCCCGCGAGCGCCTGCTTGACCAGCCCCGAATCTTCAAGCGCCAGCGCCAGCGCGGGCGCCCTGCCCTTCTGCCAGAAGGCGCCAGGGAAGTACGGAGTGCCGGCGTCCAAATTGCTGGTCACCGTCAGGCGGAAGAGATCGGGTACCTGCGAGGTCTTGACCGGAGCCTTTGCGCCCAGGCGGCAGACGACCCCCGCAGCGTCCAGTGCCCTGGCGCGGTCCGGCACGCCGGCATCAGTCAGCGCCACGGGCACCGTGAAGAAGGTCTTCTGGGTCTCGCCTCCTAGCGCCAGCTCCATCACGTCCAGGCGCGCGACCGCAGGTCCCACAGAGACGAAGTCGACACCCTCGGCCGCCGCCTCCAGCCGGGCCAGCGCCTTCGCGGCGTCGGCCGCGGGCAAGCCCGCCGGCAGGAAGTCCTCGAAGGAATTCGTGGCCGCCCGCACGGTCTGCACCTCGAACCCCGCGGCCAAGACCACGGACTTGGCCGTGGCGAGGACCCGGCCGGCCGTGCGCATGATGTCGGTGGCCTCGTCCAGCGAGCCCGCGGCGTGGAAGTACGTGATCGAACGCACCTTCATCGCGCCGCGGCGGCCGCGCGCCCCGTGGGTCGGCGCCTGGACCGGGCAGAGGGCTCAGCTGGCAGCTCGGACAGGCGACCGCACGCGGCCGACAGAGCCCACGCGGAGGGGGAGGAGGAGGAGGAGGAGGAGGAGGAGGAGGAGGAGGAGGAGGAGGAGGGGGAGGAGGAGGAGGAGGGAGGCAACGAAAGAGAAGGAGAAGGAGAGGACGAGGGGTAACAGTGACGGTTACGGCGAGGGCGAGGGTGAAAGTGAGCGTGACGATGAGACTCAGGCTGAGCGGAAGGCTGAGAAGGCTGACGATGAGGCAAAAGGTGAGGCTGAAAGTGAGGCCGAAGGTGAGGCTGAGGCTGAGGGTAAAGCTGATAATGAGGCTGATATTGAGGCTGAGACCAATGATAGGGCGGTGGCGAGCCCGGCAACAATAACTGCGACGGTGACAATGATCGTTACGGTGATAGTGACGATGTGGGAAAGAATTTGGGTGAGGATGGCGAGGGCCGCGAGAGCGTTGAGGTGCGAAAGCGGGATGTTCTGAGGATGTGAGGGTGTAGTGGCGGCGTGCGATAAAGGGTGCGCATGAGCCAGGGCGTGAGGGCGTGACCTTTGTTTCCACGACAACGTCTCGCGTTGAAGCAAACGTGATATTCCTGAGCTTGCCACGTGAAGCGCGCGGTCGAATATGCGAAGTGCGAGTAACCAGGGAGGACTGCAGCAAGGGGAGGACAGCGGAAGAGGGGGAAGGCGAAGAGCACACTGGCGTCGTGCGTGCCCACCCCTATGGCAACAGCCAGGGCGTGAGGGCGTCACTGCGCGCAACACTGGCGTCGTGCGTGCCCACCCCAATGGCAGCAGCCAGGGCGTGAGGGCGTCACTGCGCGCAAGGGGTGCGTGAGGGGTGGGTGGCGAGGGTAGCGAAGGTGGAGAAAGTGAGGCTGCGCGGCGGCTCTCCCGCCTGGCCCAGCTCCGCTCAGAAGGGCTCCCCAATTGACCTCTCCCGGGGGCCGTCCTGGCCAACTCTCGGAGTGGATCCAGCCGTGGTGGCGACAAGCCTCCGGGAGGCCCCATCCAAGTGTTGAACAATCGGAATAACGCCAGGGAGGGCCGCCACGGGCAGCCGAATCGCAGGGAAGGGTGGCCAGCCTTCACGTCCGCCAGCATCTCCGCGTCGCCCCCCCTCATGGACAGCGCGAGAGGCGCGGCGGCGCCCGTCGCGTCCGCCGCGGGGCCTGCGGGGCCCGCGCGGAGACGGGAACACCGTTATGTTGTGTCCCTCTTTCTTTACTTCTTTATTTCGTTATTTTTTTCTGTCTTTAGTTCTTTCTTCATTTTCTTTATTTGGTTGTTTGATCCTCTCTCTCTCTTTTCCCCCATCTCTCTCATTTTATTGTTGTTTGTTATATCTCTCTCTCTCTCTCTCTCCGGAGCGAGCGCCAGTTCTGACAGTCGTCTAGCAGCGAGCGACTAGTGGCCAGAGCGTCCAGCGGACTGCCAGATGCACTAGGTCGTCGGGCGAGAGTCAGCTCGCCCTCCTCCGAGCGGTGCGGACGGCGGGCCACGCCTTCATCCCCTTCTTCTGCGTAGGACAATTTTGAAACACCCTTCTCTGGATCGAAAAGGGGTCGCGGGAGCTCTCTGAAATCGGCCGTCGGTACCACACAGTTAAAACCAATATCTGGAAGCTCCAAAAGCCGAGCGGCACCTGGCAAACAAGTTGCCCATGATGCGGATTCCATATACATACATATATACATACATTTATATATACATATACATATATACACATATACATATACATATACATATACATATACATATACATATACATATACATATACATACATACATACATACATACATACATACATACGTACATACATACATACATACATACATACATATACACATACCATATATAAACATAAATACAAAAATACATACATACATATATGCACAAGGCCAGGGACCCCGGACCCCCCCCTTCCCTAACGAATTTGGCCCACCCTGGGCCTCTCGGGTAACCCTCAAGACGGCCCCAGAGAGCTCCACGCCTCCCGACGCGCTCCCAAAACGATCCCAAAGAGCCCCAAGACGGTCCACGACGACCCCAAAGAAGCCGTCATACCCCCAAAGATCGTTCCAAAGAGCACTCCCAAGAAGGCCCAAGAAAACACAACCCAGCATAATGCTCAAGAGTGTTACGCTGCTGGACTCGGGACACCGAACATAATATATCAATGTCATGGAATCTTCACCTGAGCTTATCACAGGTAATCCCATCATATGGCCACCAGTGTTCTCATCCATCGCGTTTTTGGTAAAGGATATCAGCCTTTTTGCGTAGCTGCCTTACTGATTTGGTATGCCGCGTACGTTTTGATCGCCAGGAATCGGCTGTAGCCGCGGCTCTCGTCGACGTCCAACTCCGTGCATCTTTCCAGACAGTTCGCGTAGTGCGTGTCCTTGTCGTAGATATCATTGAAAGCCTTGCACTCGTGCCTCCCATTCTTGATACGCTTGGCTCCCATTATGATCGATGACTACATCAGAAGTGCACTTTCGCCCAGGTAGATCGAAACCTCCTGCGTAAATTCACCATCGTGCCCCGCGATATTCAGATCCTCGCGCTTTGTCAGCTTCTTGATTTTCTCGGTCTTGAGGGAACGAGGACTTTCCTTCTGAAACAGGTTGTCGCTGCCTAAGCTGTCCACCTCCATTGGCACTAACATGCCAAGATTATGGTCGCTGCCCTGCTTCGGCTGCGCTCTGTAAATGACAAGAACAATTCCAATCGCGATAAAGACCACAGTCACCACCGCAGGAGCCACTGAAACACAAACTCCATACACTGCAAGTGTGCAGAATTGAAGCACAACTGCAACAGGGCCAGGTATCTGCGAAGTCTTCTGTGCGCCACTCCTCTCCATCGGCTGATTGCCCATCGCGTCGCCCATGTGGAACGCTTCGGCATCTTCATCCCCGCCCTGACCATCGTCCTCATCGTCGTAGAGGCACTCGCCCCTGTAGTTGCACACCTCCACCGGCCAGGTCGAGATCTTGACGTTGTTGCCCTCGGCGTCGTCGGCAACTCCTGCTTGACATGCTTCGCCATCTTCGCGTTGCGCCCCTCGACCTCTTTCGTCCCTACCACTTTCTCAAGTCTAACCAAATCCCGCCCGCGCATGAATAACGCCCTCGAATCAGGCCCCAATAAACCGCAGGTTCGAAGTGAGCACGAGCCTCCTGGGATCACCTCGGCTAAGCAATCCGCCAACGTCTGCTCGCCCGCGACCCGCTTCAAACTCCCCCTTGAAAGGTTGTCGCAATGTGGCCGCTTCCAGAGATGCCCCCCGATCCGCCATGGAAACCGTTCCCATGGTGATCGTAGCGCATGAGCTCTTGCAGTCTGTCGCGGCAGTGCACTTCGCCGGGTAGGCGTCACGCGCAATATCAACGGCGCCCATCCTGGGGCACGCGGTCTCCGCAAGGGTAGACCGCGCCCATATCAACAAGTCCACTGAATCTGCACATGATTGCGCCTCCGCCGATAGAGTTGATCGCATCGCTCGTTGCATGCGGGGAACTGCCATCCAACAGAGTGCACGTTGCACTGGTTGCAATGATCGCCTTTGATCTTGCCAGTCGCCCGGCAGGATGAAGCGATCACGCTGCGCTCGGTGCTTCGGCAAATTGTCCAAGGCACCGTCCGCCACGTTGATCGCCGCGGTTTCCCATAGGTTGAGGCCAGCCGCGGACCTAATCAGCAGGTCGGTTCGCTTCTGAATCCTCCCGATAGCTGCGCTGCCGTCCTGTATGTCCTTCGCCGTCTGCTCTCCCAGACTAGATGCCAGTCGAGATGTCCCGAAAGCCTCTTAGAAGCAACTCGTGCGCGCAGCCCGCTGCGACTGGCCCGCCACCAGTTGTTGTCCTCGATGTTCAGCTTGGGTCAACTTGCCGCCCGGTGCTCTGCTGCGCCCGCGGAATGCGCGTGCCGTCTGCGTCGGGTTCGCGCATTCCTCCGCGGCAACGTCGATGCTCCCGTCCTCGCATTGCCTGCAGCCCCTGCCACAAAACGTTGCCTTCTCTGTTCTGGCGCACTTGACCTTGCCAAAGTCGGTCTCCTTCCGTAAATCACCCATGATCTTGGCGCCCTCAGAGTCGCCCTTCTTGGCGCCTATGAGGCCCTAACCCATGCGCAGGCACATTGCCCCGATGATATTGCTCTGCATGTTGCTCTCGATGAAGGTCGCCGGCTCGAAACTTCAATCTTCCCATCCAAGCCTGATGATAATCTCATGTAGGGCTACGTACCACGCCCTCGCCGCGTCGCTGGCCCCGTAGATGCACTTTTTCAGCTTCAGCAGGTCCCCCCCGGGATAATCAATTTCCCCAAGCTTGTCAGGATCCGGAAGAACAGCTCGCTCGTGATAGCCTTGCCTTGAACAAAGGCCCCCTTCGCGTCTGCGATGACCAGGTCCAAGGTGAGGCTCGGTGCGACGCCGCGCAGTAACAACGTCTTTTGGATTGGCACGGTAGGAGAGTCTCTCCTCAACATGTTCCCGAACTCATCCTCGCATCCTCAGCCGCAGACCCCCACCTTCGGTCCGAAGGTCGCGGGGCCCTGTCCACGCCGCCGTAGAACTTTGGATCTTGCCCTGGTCTATCTTCTCGACGGCAGCTCCCGATGCGTGCGCTGCTGCCTCGCACGTACTTACACAATACACTCCATTACTTGTCCGCTGCACCCTGCATCTTCTTCCACTTCAGCTCGTCGTCGCCCAGGGACGGCAGGTTGATCTCCAGATGCTCGTTGGCCCCGGGTTGCGCGCGCGTCCGCTCGGCCGCGAACGCCTCGACAGGTAGTCGGGCGTCGGCCAAGTGCATGTTGGCCCAAATTGCGATTGGACCCGCCTGATGCCGATCGGCACGCCATGCAGCAAGAACTCATCCTGGGCCACGGAGTTCCCCTAACGCTCACAATGGCTTTGGACTGGCTGATGTTCACTGCCTGCCTCACCATGCTGCTCGCGCGGCGCGTGCGTCGGCGAAGCTGGCGCCGGCGCTGCAGCTGACTCCTCGGCTTTCCTGCGCCCCCATTTGTGACGTTGAACTGCAGGAAGTATCCGAAGATTGCCCTTGTCCTCCAACGCGTCGCCCGTCCTCGTCTGCTTGAGCTGCAGGCCCTTCTTGGTAGCATGCTTCTTGCCGCCTCGTTCCCCTCTTCGGCTGCCCCTCCATCGGTTGCTCTGGCTCCGCGATCGCTTGATCAACTGGGCCTTCCTGGCGTCCAGCTTGAGCTTGGAGCGTCGCAGCTGCGCCTGGTTGAAGTACAACTTCAACTTCCTCCATGTGCGAAATGATTTCCTCAATCGCGGTGGCGGGCTGGATCGACGCCGCGCCAATAATTTGTGGGCTGGCGGTCAAATCCTGCATCGAGTTATATCGAGCCAGGTCTCGCGCGTCCAAGTTGGATACCCCCCCCCCCTCTCATGCCCAGGCGCCGCGTCTGGAATCCGGGGTCCACGGGCGACGCTCTCCAGCTGCCGCAGCTTTGATTGCTCGCCGCCACAGGTCCAAGGATCGTGCCCCAAGCTGGATGAGCTCGCCGCAGTCTTACTCGAAGGTCTTCTTCTGCTTGATCTTGATCAGCTGGCTCTGGCTCGTACTCGTCCTCCAGCCTCTGCCGCGTCGGCATAACATCGTTGTCGTGAGCCACTCCGATATCCGTTTCCTGCTCCTGTCCATGTCCACCGCATGCCTGATGTCGATCGCACCACCATGGGCTGGCATTGCTGCTGGTGCTGCGAGTTCCCGTTGCGCTTCGGCTAGAGGTGCTCGATGTGAAACATCTCCGTGTGGTGGCCGCTCTGCAAGGCGTCGTTGATCAGCTGGTTCCTGTTCTGGGCGTCGCAGATCTTGTCGCTGATCATGCTGCTGATCTGGCCGCTGCTCCCACTGCTGTTCATCACGAGCTGCATTGTGCTGTTCGCCCCGTAGGTCGATGAAACCTCGCTGGCTTGATCGCGCGCGAGCTGGCCCGCCGTCTGAGAATATGTCGGCCATCTGCGTCGCGCTCACCTCGTTCTCCGTCGCTTTACGAGGGGGCTCGGTGAGCCCAAGATCGGTATCTGATTCTGACAAAGCCAATATCCACGCGTGTCCTTTCCCGAACATCGGGCATATCCATGCCATCTTGATCTTGCGCGCAGGTTACTCTTGAATTTGTCTG